AACGCGCTGCCGTCCTCGGCTACGCGCGTAAATGCAATCAGTAGCGTATCCTTGCGTCCATGAAACCGCCGGGTGCCTCGGAATCCTCCAAGGCCGGCAGCCGCGAATCCTGAGGGAGCCTCGGCGCCTTCCCTCGCTTCGGACTTCGGGGGTAATCGAGAGCCACGAGCTCCGGAAGCGAGCTCGGCAACCCGCAGGAACCGCTTCCGTAAGCCTCGGGGAGCCTAGGAACTCCGGATCGTCGAGTCCTTAGATATAATCGGATACGAGGGCGAAACATGTTTACAACACGCGGCCCGAAATGATCGTGCGACGACGAGGACAGAGGGACCGTCCGCCTTCGTGAGAGACTCCTAAATGCGCGCGAGTGTGTATGTGTGAGAGAAACGTGTGTTGCATGTGTGTGTACAGGAAAACGCGTGAACGCTAAACGTCGATGCTGGGCGTTCGCGATCGCCAGTGTTCTATTCTCGCGGAATAGAACAGCGAAGGAGTAATAATAGGGGATAAAAAAAAACGACAGCAGGGACTGTGATCGATGCCGCGATTAACGTCACGTTCGTCGGCGATGGCGTGTCAATGGTTTTTCTCAAAACTATTAGTTGCCGTCAACGGGACGTTTCTATGGGGTTGGAATGTGTGAGTACCCTGGGGATTTTGATCTTAAATAAACGTCGCCGAATACCTGCAGACCCCGCAGACGTCGAAATTATCTCTTTTACGTTACGTTTGTTTATATTTCAATCGTCGCGCACTATTGAGATCTAGGAGCGAGTCGATTATCTTCGTCAGGATCCTTGGGTCATTCAGATATCCGGCAAACGATCCACGCAATTGTCTATCTACGAGGATCACGGCTCTGGTCCTATTCGTAATCCTACAGTTAATGACTACTCGTAAGGATAGTTAAACTTAGCTGTATTTGTTCGCCGTATTGGAAACGGAAATCATAAATGCACTCTCTCGTAATCTTTTCTGTCTTCTTTTTTTTTTGTATGGGAAGTCGACCACTGTCCGCGAAATCCAGAGACGAGGAGAAGTAATTCAGATTTTACGCTTTGAAAATATTAATCCAAGATCTGTGAATGCAGAAGTTTTGTATGGTATGCGGATTGTAAACGTTATTCTCGAATGTAATAATGTTCGTCCGTGAAAACGCGATTTGTCCGACTCGTCGTGGACGGCGGTCGATTTTTCCGCTCAACAATTTACGGCCCTTTCTCGCAACGTTTAGTAACAACACCGGCGCGGCGTGTGCGTGCATCTTTTTCCCGTACGACGTTCTTCCTTGCTCTAACCGAGCGTGAAGATTTTTTAAGTCTCGCGTGGCAGTCCGTTTGATCTCGTCTCCCGCGTACCGACTCGAACATCCCCCTTCGACTTATGGCAGCCCCGAACCCAGCTCAATCACCGTCGGCTGCGTGGCTGCCGAACAAGCTGAACATTAAGACACATCTACACGGAGAAATAGAGTTTCGCTATTTTTTTTTCCTTTTTTTTCTTGGTTCATCTAACGAGCAAACAGTGTTAATTAGAGTTTATGTATATTTTATATAGGTAATAATTGTAATAATAATAATAATTCGTAATATCAATTCATCCCAACAACAAGTTTAAGTTATCATCTGATAGTATTTTGTTTCTCTTTTTCTCTCTCTCATTCTCTTTCTCCCTTCTTCTTATCTCTCTTCCCGTCCTTTCCCTCGACTCGTTCTTCTTCTCGACCGATACTTTCTTCCTCATTAATATATATCTCTGTTTATTATATATATCTTTATTTATTTGTTTTATATATATGTATAGACTGATATCAACACGTATAACATCGACGTTTTTTTTTCTTGTTAAATCAAGTTCCCGCGGAGAAGGTTGCGGCTGCTCCGATTACGCGCCTGCTAACTACAATCTTTCTTTCTCTTTTTTTTTTTAATACGTGACTAACGCAAACAAATTGCCGGATCGTGTTGCGAAACTTAACGACGATCCGATCAGTCAATTGTCTTTCATCTTAGGTTTTTTTTCGGCGTTTTATCAGTTGAATGTGAACCATTTTGCGCTTCTCGCTGCACTTACCCTCCCGACTCGTCCACAAGGAGAACGCGAAATTTCGAGGTTTTATTCCCTCCCTCGAGCTTCGAACGTGTTCCGTGTACACCCGGGTATTCGTTTCCCTTCTTTACTTCAACCCGTTCGCGCTACAAGCAAGCGTAGCGCGCGTCTGCAGCAGAATTTCATTCGCGAGAGAATGTGAAATCGATTATTCCTTAGCGAAGGCGGGGCTAATTGAAAAGCTCCGTTTATCCTTTAATATTCATTATCATTTAATATTCAATTCGTCGGTAGATAAACTTGCGCGCGAGAATGCTCGCTAAGGGATTCGTTCGATTGATCGACGAATAAAGTTCTGCTTCTCTTTTCCGCGTTTCTCAGATTGTTTCCAAGATATGCGGATATTCTGAAAATTTTTTAACAATCTACACGAGTTGCAATTGCGCGTCACGGTGAAAACGGTATATATATAGGAAATATATATTTGCACGTATCAAAGATCAATATTGTGTCACGTCCGTTGAAAGAGCGCTCGGAAAAGCGCTCTCCGCCTATTCTTTCTTCGACGAAACGAGAACTTCAGCTAGAGATTCTGACCAGCGAAAGAGTTAATTCCCCGTCTTTCGATTCGGGTCTTCATTTGATTTTCGTTTCTAAGCCTATTCCGGTTTTCCCCTTTTAGCCGCGTTCTCCGAACTTGCCTTCCGAGATAGGCCCTTGTTATTGCTCGCACGCATACAGCTAAGATCTTAACGGTATAAGTTCGCTACTCGACGGGCAAGGTGTGCGTGTATAGGTATATGCGTGTGCCTGTACGTGTGTCTTGTAATAATGCGATGAGCGAGTGGGTGTGGAGAGAAAAGAAAGTTTCATCGGGATGTGTAGTTATTACGATAGAGAGAATGATAGCGCGTGCTGTGCACCGAGAGTAGATATGGTCACGGAATGTCTTTCCGTTCCCGTAAAAAAAAATAGGCGAATCAAAGGAGATTAATGGAAACCCCTACTGCGGACGAATTTCTCTGACGTCGGGAATTAATTCAGCGAGATCTCTCCCGCTGGGTTCCCCCTGGGTTAATTTAATTCTTTAACAAGTATTAAGATACGTCGTGCAGCAAACCCCCTTTCTTTCCCCTATATACCTCTATACTTCACTCCACAGAATGAATTCCCGTCAGTCCCTTCTGAAAAATTACCGTATCCTAGATAACGCGAGAAAATTAAGGGGCTGTTCTGCTTTCTGTTACAAATTTACAAAACTGATAGAAGCTAAGTGTTGCCAAACATCTTCTTTTTCTCCCCTTGCGCATACGTGATTCAAGATACTTTAATTCTTCGCGCTTCTAGATTCGTGTAACAGCTTTAACGCACCTATTTTTTTGTCAGGAATCGCCGGTTTGGAGATAGAGCGAATCTCTCTCTCTCTCTCTCTCTCTCTCTCTCTCTCTCTCTCTCCCCTCTTTTTCTCCATTTGTTAATAATTATCGTACAAAAACTCGTTCGCAAGCTCGTCTGCAAGCCCGCGTGCATGGCAGTATTCTCGGTAAGTAGACAGCGTAAATACGATATGATACATAGCGGGGTATCGTTCGGGGCCGTCCCTGAGCGGCCGCGACGGCCGTTAACCCTTCCGCGGCGACGACAGGCTCGAGAACGCGGTGACTTGAAGGGAACGACGTTACCTGAACGTTCGGATTGAATAGGGAAGAGGAGGGAGAGGGGATTAAACATTCACTCCGTTCGCGCGCTCGCACCCCGAAATACGTACGCTGCATCGCCATACCGAGGTGACGTTGACGTGTTTTAACGCGTCTGTCTATGTCAGTGTTCGATCCGATCTCGCCGTAAGGCTGCCACAATTTGGTATGACAACGCTAACCGATGGCGATGACTATAATCGACCGATCCGAAGAGCCGAAAACTCGGAGGTCTGGTCGGTCTCTATCAGGAGTCCTGTTTAAAAAGCCGAAGAACCGAAAATTCACGTATCTAGATATGTGGATTTATATATCTAGATACTAGGAATTTAAGGATCCACGGACGTCCTGAGATTCAACAGAAATCCGACTGTCCTGCTCTCCGAGTGAATCCAAGAATCCGGAAAAGAGATACACGAATCCTGAAATCGGTGAATTTCGATGGAAAGATTCGGGATGGATCTTTTAATTCCGGAAATGCTTACTTATTTAATTATTTAGAGTAATCGATATCGCGTTTCGGCTTTATTACTGTTTTTAATTGAAAAGGATGATCAGCATTACGTCCTTAGTTTTATTACCGTCGTCGCTTTGGAGGGAAAGGATTTCGGACTTTACGTTTACGATTATGTGTAGTATAAAATCGTAGGATTCCACAAGAAAGTCGTGAAGACTCGCTCTAACGATAAGCGTTATGCGGAACGTCTTGATGCGTTATTAAGTTCTTAGTAGTTCTACAGAACGACGCGTGAGATATGCAATTAAATCGCATAATTAACGATCGATCGATCATCTGGTTAACGAAATTGTAAAATCACAAATTTTTCTCACGGCTCGCGAAGACAGGAAATCAAACAATTTTTGCCAATACGATTGACGGTTAAAGCGCGATTTCACTTGCATATTCGCGTCGCTCGCTGACAGTCGCATGATCTCTCAGGATGCAATTTTCGTCGTTGCCCTTGTACTCGAAGTAGGTTCCTCGAAATCTCTACCTCTCCCTGCCTCTCTCCACGCCCCACCAAAACTCTCGATAAATTTATTTAGATTACTTGGTACGAGATTAACCATTTATTTGGTACGATTAACGCGATTTCTAACCCGTAAAATTGTCCCGCTATTTCCACAGACGATTACTCAATAAATAATAGGCTATCCTGGCGTTCTGAGGCCGTGCGGTCGTGAGTGCTCGGTCGTCCTCCCGTCGTTCCCTCGGTGAAGAGCTCCCTTGCGTTCCT